GAAAGAACGTGATACATCTGCGAGCCATTGGAAGGTTACAAAGAACTAGGTTCCAAATAGCTAATAAACAATCACCTGGAATGAAATTCAGAGAGTCAAAATCAAAACTATCGGCTACCAAGCATCAGACTTTGATTGACCATACAATTCCATTCTCCAGCTTTATTTGATTTGATCTTTGGAACTCATTAATCCTTAGTGGATATCTAGTCCTGAAGCAACTTTTCCAGTTAGGCCAATGAGCAAGAAGAAGTGCAGTGAATTTATTTCATTGTTACAATTTGTGGGAAATCCAGTTTTCTGACATTTTTCTCTCGTGGTTTCGGCCACGGCGTTTCAAATGGAAAGGAATCTGCAAACACAACTGATCGGTCATATATTTGATTCCGTCCTGTGACGTAGACTGTTGTAGATGTATTTCCATTTGGTGATTTCGACACATTACGAATTCTCAAAATGAGTAAAGGGAGGATTAATCGAACACTTCGCAGCTCTGTTGCACCCGTTCAAGTTTCATTTAACTGGCCTCCATTTTCTGGTTGTCCATTTCTCGTGGTAAAGATAGCATAAAAAGTGACCAAATCTGAGCACGGGAAAATCATCGTGATTGCTTTGGTTTTCTGGCTGGCACATGCATGTGGGCAAAGTTTCAACCGAGAGAGAGGGAGAGAGAATGAGATAACCGAAAAACCACTGGTCCGTGTAAACAGATAAAGTAAGCGGAGCGTCAGCTTCTATGCCTCCGTTAATGAATTTGTCTGGTTTGGGGATGAAACTAGTTCTACTATATTGCTCACATGTAAACTCTGGGCAATATTTCAGCAAAATATCTTCATCGCAATTTTGTCGTCAAAACTAAAAAGCCCACGCCGTGCGTGGTTTCGTATGGCACATTGGTCGATGAACAGCTTATCGATCGACTTACCGACTGACTGATCTATTATTTTATTAGTTGATCCATACAGTGATTCACTCTTTCACCCGCTACGTGTGTACGGTTCATATGTGCCATCAATAATGCCTAGTAATCTCCTAACTCTTACTCGTTCGTTTTATCCGATAGGATTTAGACGAGAATCAACTATGGCTTCGGAGGATGCAGAGCGCAGTTGCTACTCATAATGAAGCCGAATCTGTAGAAGATGCAACACAGCATCTAGACGACCGTGCAAATCTTAAAATCGAGCTAGAATCTAGACGGGAACCATTTGCTCAGCTGATCAGTTACGGTCGGTGTATCACTGAAGGGGAAACGGACGAGCATTATGTAGAACTGGACAAACGCTTGGACTCGCTGGAATCCGGTTGGAATGAACTGGTTTGTATGTGGATCCATCGACAAAAGTTGCTCGAGGACAGTCTGTCAATTCAGGTAGGCAATTCGGATGTGCATTCCTGTCACTGACACTCGGGCTGGGATATCCACCGTGGTTGTTTTATATTCCTAAGTCTATTTCCGTAACCGACTTCCGACCGACAGGCACTGTAAAATTCGAACGCCTGTAGATATTTCTTGTTGGAATTTATGCAGTCTCGGGTATGAAATCGGCCGATTAAAGTTCTTGAGGGACGACTCAGTACTATGTTTGAACGGAAATGATACAACAACTACAGAGGTTACTGAGTTGGAGGTAACAATGAAATATTCCGGTGGAATGATCTGAGTGCAAAGCAGAGACCTTCGGATCAGAAATACCAAAGGAAAGATATTATAGCTCGGAACTGTAAATTGCAATAGGAAGATGCATCACATGAGGTTGACGAAAAAATTCATCTGTAAAAACCATGAAAGCAATACAGCTATTTTATCTATCAAGTGTCGTGAAAATACACTAAATCTCAACAGGGATCGTCAGGCGAGGTGCAGATTCATCGGCCGTGCAACATTATCTATTGGCCTGTCCAGCCTGTTTTTCAATAGCATGTTTCATATGGAGCTCTATTATGTGTTCTGAGTGGGTCCACTCTCTCTCTTTGTCCGTCTCCTTTTTCCTACGTATCTAGGCCGTTGTTTGACTCCAAATCCAGAAAGTCCTCTGGAATGAAGGACAAAATAGAACAATTATTCCCTAACGATAGTCAGCTTTGGCAGCAGTTCACTTGAGATAGGATTACGTTCCGGTCGTTTTTGACCAAACAACGTTTGGCTGCAGCAGTTAGCTTTGTTTGGTTTTGTTATTGTTGTTATTTCCGCTGCTTCATTGTCCTCTTGATTGTTCCAGTAATCCGAGGGACGGCGACGACAACGACAACAAGAGCAACAAAGTGAGGGGGGGGGGTAGGAGAGAAAGTCAAAACCGTCAATCGTGACATGATCCCCGGACATACGAATGTGTCAGTGCGTTCACGGACACTCCCTGCACTGTGCATAATCTACATTTGGTCCGCAGAGATGAGAGGAAAATAGTGTATCAAATTTCTGTTCATCAAGAAACTAGGGTGAGAACGATTGGACAGAATAGTGGAGATAGTGGCAATTTGCTCGTAGACCATCATTTTCCTTCATTATCTGATTCAGTCAGATAAGAAGACGAGGATGAACAGGTCCGTTGATGATAACTTAATTCCCGCTTTGTTTTGCTCTTTGTTAGTCTCTATCACACAATTGCACCATGGTCCCGACTGTGAACTAGTTGTTCGACTATGACTTCGGCCGTGCGTTAGAAAGAGGGAGAGAGGGAGATAGAAAATAGAGGGAAAACTTCATTTGATTTCCTGTGGGTTAGAAGATAAAGAGGAAGTTGTAATCATTAAAGTAGTTGATATTTCTAATCGGATGATTGTTGCACAACTCTCCGTTTCTGTTGGCCGAATCTCATTGGTAATTTCTGCGTGTGCAAATTTGCCGCATTAGAGGTGAACAAACGCATTTCAACGACATCTCTATTTTTTGCACGGTACAGAATAAAGCACTCAAAATGGAGTTCGTGGATAGCACAAATGTGTGGGTAATTTCCCTGGACATATCCACTGCCATACAGAGTACAAAAAGCGGTGGAAAAACTTGTTTTCAGTAATTGACCCTCAGTTTATCTATTTACACAAATAAGTACCTGAAAGTTGTTCATGATGTGCTTCCACAAACGGGCTATGGCTCATCACGCGAGTCAGTGACATAATCCCAATTGGTCGAACTCAGGTATAAGTAGTATTCTAACCCACACTGCACTCATCCTCTACCGTGTATTGAACTTTCAAAACCATAACACGATTTGTTTCATCTTCCAAATACTTAGCAGATGACTACCTTATAACCTTACCATATTCGCACCTTATTGTCAGTAAATATCCCTAACTGGTTCCGGGTTTACAACGAGCACTTAACTACCGCAAATTTGTTGTGTCAGAAAGTAACCGTAAAGTATAATCCTGAATTACGGCATGATGGTAATCATCCCTCCGCGTTGGGAGTCGAATCCAGACAGTCAAGTTAATCACGTCCTAATACGGCCTGTGCTCTACCGGATGTGCTACCAGGTTGCATTGATAAAATATCACACTGTTTACGCATCTAATCCACGGTAACCATCCACAGTAAACTTATATCCTAATTAACCCTTGAAAAATTTCCATATGAGTTAAGTTGTCATAAATATATTAGTTATCAAACGGTCTACAAAGTAAAGGTTGTCCTAATTAGCAAATTTCCTCTTGAAGTTTATCATTGCGTTGCACCAAATATGATGACTTTATTCCGGTATATGTTCCACTGAACTTGTCCACCCGCCTTTTTAAGGTGTAATTATCCGAATATTAAAATCTGCGACTGTGAAAAACTTCTGATCTCTCGGTTCGCTTACGGTTACGATCACCACAGAGTTTTTGCATCGAGGCAGGCATGATATATCCGAAATTATTTTGCAGAAATTCGTCCTAAAAGTGGAACTTAGGCTATCAATAGAGAACGATATAACTTATCCGTGTCCCAATGGGAAATAGTAAGAAATAAATCTTGAATTTCATTAAGAATGTATGTGAAACGGCAAGTTAGCAGTACAAGTATTTAACTGAAAAGCAATTGGTAATAAACGATCAAAACATTAGATGGCCTACGGATTCTAACAGTAGATTAAATTTGAGTTGTTTTTGGTCTGATGACCGGCCGTGGTCAGGTGGCCATCATGGCATTCAGTCCTTCGATGGCAGGTTCGAGTCTTGCTTCTGTCGTCGGTCACTATCCAGTTGGCAGCCTCTAATTGGCCTCGAACCCTCCCCTTCCTAAAATGTTGCACCAATATTGCCTAACAAAAGAATGTAAACAAAATGATACAATATGAATGGATCTGACAGCGACTTCTGGGCACGTGACGGGCAATGAATGAAGTGATCTGTAAGTGCAATTCTTCCAGAAATTTCTTCTGCTAATGAATTAACCTTAAGTTATCAACGCTAAACTCGCCTTTCAAAGACTATGCAACCATTCCAGGACTGCCCCATTATTGTTAGGAATTATAAACAGTGCACATCCACAGAGATCCCCCTAGAACTCAACCGTAGAGTAAACGGTTGTGAATCACGAACACTACCAACGTACAATCCAGAATGGTTGTGTTGTTACTGCATGACGAATAACCTCGTAAACAGTTGAATCTCATACTACTGAAATTGATCCACTATTGAATTCCCACGAGTAGTTTTGTAAAACCTCTAGTTCATCAAGGTCCCTCCTGATAGTCTGACGTGTAACGTCTTTATGACTACAAATGGTGTACTTGTGGTTAGATTTCCGTGTGGGATTTCGTGGACATGCATTTCAGCTATTAGAATTTCCTAACACGACAGACGAACTACCAGGTTCAGGGCTTCCACGATATTTATCGATATGAAGAGCGGCGACAAAGCCTGACGAGTCACTTCATTAACATTATACCATCGTTGTATTATAGATCACAGAATTTAAAGGGTCAATGTTATTATTGTAAATAATATGCTGGTTATTTGTATACCTTGGTGAGACAGAATGCCACTTTTCTCCTTTTCTCTTTAACTTCGTTATTGATATGATCCTAGAAACCGCACTTTTGTCAGGTGATGATCGTGGTATTGAAGTTTTTGAGGGTGGAAAAGTGTCAGAACCTGGAAATGCGGACAACATTGTCCTTCTAAGTGGAGCTCCAGGTAAGTTGCAAGCTTTTCTAGACGGCATGACTGACTGCGCTGTCAATGTTCGGTATGCGTTTTTCATTTTCAAAATGCAAGATGCCGCTGCAGGACTGGGTTGGTCCAAACCAAACCAAACCTTTAGTATCCGGGGAGACTATAGACCAAGTAGATCAGTTCTGATATCTAGGGAGCTGCATCTCACCCGGAGGTCGGTGTTTTTGAGTACGCAGTTTAAGACAGCCAGACTTTGACGTTGAAAATACTAACGGAGTGAAAAACTAATATCTAACTGTAAAACGGTTAGAACAACAGCTGATATACCAACACACCAACAAGGCCAACATGGTCAGCATCAATACCGTAAACCACACACGAAACCATCGGTACCAGTAACGTCGACACTATCATCAAAAAAACAAGCAATACTAGCAAGGTCACCCCTTTACAGTTCAGTCAGAATAAAACGATCCACGGAGAAACGGACTAATGAATGCACCTCAAATAGTTCTGTTGCCAGGCTGGGTGGGTAAACCATAATAAAAATGTTCTACGCCATAGGACAGATGTTAGAGGTTTTCCCACTGACTGGAATTCTGATCCGGCTTCAAAACAAACCCGTTTCTCGATCTGGTTAACCAAACGAACACCCAAAGCGTGGTACGTTCATAAATATTTTGCGATTAACCACTTAAATCGTATTTTGTAGTTTTTTAATCCCTGTTGTCGGCCACTAGGAAGTAAAATTCAGTCTAAGTTCCGTTCGTACTTTGCTTCTCGTACCGAATTCCGTAGCTCAATTTGGGCTGTTCTTTGGATTTCCTGAGTCAGTATGTTCTGAGTTAGCTCACTAGTTCTGGGACGAAAATCAATTGGCTTCCGAACCATTTTGACTTATTATTAAGAAATATAACTTTCATATAAGATGCGGGGTGATCGTAACCAATTACTGAATGAAACTGGGGGATGTCTTTCCTGATTGGCTGGTGATGGGACCAAGCACAGCCTGACACGTTTCTCTCCTCAGCTTGTTGATCAATGCAGTCAATCCTCTGCCCTGTCGCTCTTGATTCCGTGCTCCTCAGCCCTGAACTTGATTGTGGACAGGCGATTCTGGCGTGTCACATGACTCTTAGTGAAGGCACTGAATTGCCAGAAAAGGCAGTCAGTGAGCTAGCTGCTAATCTAGTGATACCCTCAAACAATGATACAGCGTAAATTTTGCCACGGATTCATCTGCCATGAATCGTGTAAGCAGACAGTCAAGTTTACACGTACTCCATAAATGGAATGCAAATTTCCATACAAGGGACTAAGCTGGGAACAGCCTTGACAACAGTTACCAGTTATATGGCGTTGAACACGGTCCTGATGATAATACTAGTGATGCTCCGGGTATTGATGCAGATGACGTTGTTTGCTTTGGTTTAACCGGAATAAGATAGACAGACTTTGAAAATGGGACTTGATCATAGTCAGTCTTCATCTGGTGGTTTGGGTGAATGAATAATCAAATTAATGCTCATTATTACTGCGTTGATATAAATGCAAATGTCAACGCTGGCCATTTTTTCTCTGCTCACTGTTAAATCAGAATAATTTTACGCAAAAATATTGTAAGGTTGTGACAACGTTACTCCATGAGTTCCAAAACATTTATCGATGTATATTTATGAAGTGACACACACACAGACATGAACCTTGAAATATGTGACAGGAAGTTTCGTCTTTTTTCGCTTTTCAGGCAGCTAAGCAATTCCAAGATTTTCCTTTGACACTGAATCATTTGAAGAGCGAAATTGCAACATATGTTCCGTCTAGACCAGTGCTCCATGATGTGCTCTCATTTGGGGACGACAGCGAAGATTTTCTCTTGCTGGACATCAGTGAGTCTGTCGAAGATTCTCTCGTGCATACCAGTCCCGGTGAGTCCGTGAAGGGAACCGTTACGGAAGGACCGGTGAGTTCCAATCGTGATGAAATTGAAGATTTGATCATAGTTGATGACGTGGAGCTGGTGTCAGTAATTCCCACTACAGACCATCAACCTGCACCAGTGAACCTTGAGTCTCCGAGACCCTTGAAGACGTTTCTAACAACAAAAGCTGAATCGGTCACCACCAAATCAGTTTCAACGGGGCCCACAACAAAAATAGAAGAGCTGCCGGCAACTCAAAGTGACCCATCCGTGCGGGCCTCACAAGATTCTACTCAGGCGCGTCGAGTTTCTTCTGTGGTAGCCTCGATGGTTTCCGAGGTACCACCATCTTCACCGATGGATCTCCAATTGCGACTGCTGCTTAATCCACAACTCCAGCAAGTCCCGTGGGCATTGATGCGCTGTGTCCGAGACCTGACACTGCGGTCACAAGAATACTGGCTTTCTTGTACACGAGCGAGAAACGTTGTTGAAATTACCCAATGCACAATGGAACTACTCGATATGGCCACTTCTTTTGAGGCGTGGCTAAAGCAGAAGTAAGTTGACTCACGTCCGAAATACGTGATCATCCGGTGAACTTTTTAAGGACACAAATGACTGATTTGTGAGAGGCGCTCGTTGATGATAAGCAAAATGCACAATATATTTCAAGTAACCAAGGTGAGAAGATACGTCTTGAGATAAGAAATCTACAATTTCTGGTTGATCTTTGTGCAGTCATGTAACAGTACCAAGTTTATATTCTATCATAAAATGCCCCGGGGTGCTGGAGTTTTGGCATCAGCACCAACGAGGTGTGTCACCGAGTTTAATAACACCCAACTTCCCCCTTATGTCTTCGGAGATAAAACAATGATAAAAACAACTCAGAAAACCTCATTGTTTCTCGTTTTGTTAAGTTATTTTTTTGGTTCATCTCGTAATCTTTTTGTGATTTTGCTGCGATGTACGATCCAGCTCCTGATAACGTGCCCTAAACAGTCATGGATACTAGAGTGATGGAATCCTGGAAATTAATAACGAACAGATGTCAGCTCGTGGAAATGCATGGTAATAAAGCATGATGAATTTTCTTGTAAGAAGGATTTTATGAACTAACTTAACGGAACAATAAACCCCTATAGAGCAAGGAAGTTTAACTTGCTTGCAGTTCGACGTCAGATTTTTGAGATAATTGACGATAGTATTTAGGTAGGATTTTGCTGAATACACACGCCCAGGAGTTCGCAGGTATCAGTACTATCGATAGCATGAAACAATGCCTTACTACTACCATTGCTACCACTAATAATAACAACAGTAGTAATATTAATATTTGTGGTAATAGTATGACTAAGACTGCCACTAATTTCTGGTAACATTTCTCTCTGAAATAATTATGCTCGTCGGCCACCCGAGTCGACCTCAGTAACTGAATGCGTTTACATGAATTCTATGAAATAGTTTGGCACTGGTTACATGTTTCTTTCTTTTGCGCAAGGATGGCCAGTCAAATAAAATCAAGGTGCATGTCAATATCTATCACTCACTGTGGTTTGTCATACAGTGGGGAATCTCAATGCACCAATGACAATGATGATACAATCGCTGTACGGCTGTCATATCCTGCTTGTTATTCGCCTTCAACAGTTGCAGTGCATATTATCCACAGAGACTGGACTTGAACCCGAACCCGGGTCGGATGGTTGTGAGACACACAAACACACACACACACGTTACCACAAGGCTCTTTGCAGTGGCTGTCCACGTTCCGCTTCGCGTCAGCACCATACTGATTAGTACTCGCTGGTCGCTGGCTTTGCATTTGAACACCTGTGAACCGCATAATTTTCGACTCCTTAGGTAGAACTAATCTCAGTAACGCTGCTGAGCGACACCCCAGATAACCTAGTGTGTGTGACTTACAATGATCACTCCAGGGTTGGAGTCACAGTTGGGTCTTGATAAACTGACACTACATCTTGTAGAGATTCGAAATAACCCCGGATAGAACAGATGAGTTGGTGACCGGTGGTGGTCGGACGGTTAACGAGCTGGACTCCAGACTTCCTTGTCCCGGGGTGTCGAACACCGTCACCATCTCCACTGGTCACTTCCCCAAGTGATAACCTCTAATTGGTCGCGACGTCCAACCTCAAATATTGTATCATTATTTCCTAATGAAGAGAAGGTAAGACGAATGATCATCATTCATTCATTCATTCATTCATTCATAATAAGAAGGAAAACCCACTTGCATTCTCATATCCAGAAATACTCCCATTATTAATGAACTCCGGGTAGTGTTATTGTAATTGATATGATTGTCAATGATACGTCGATCTTTTATGTACAATTCAGAACTGTCCAATTTTTGCCACTCACTCAGTCCGTATTTTCCACCTCGCATCTGATTCCGATAATCATCAATTGGGTCAGTCGAACTATCTGACTTGAATTTTACTCATACAAAAGTTGCCTGTATCAAATGCAATCGTCTCAGTGTGGTTACCAGACGTCAGTTATTTTGTATATGCCAGTACCGTTTTTTATTGCCTGAACAGATATGGCATGTAGTGAAAAAGGTGAACTTCACTATCCAGTGTGCCTTAATTGAAAAGGACCATTCACAGAAAGACCTGTGTTTCAGCTTTATACTTAAAGAGTGACAGGCTATCAGAAGGTGCGTAAAAAAATGGTATGATATTCTAAGTACTGCAGTTCTGGATGAAAATGATGCTTTGGCCAACATTGTTCAAACGGGATTCGAGAGAATAAAAACGGTGAAGAGGGTGTTAGAGAATTGAATGCCGGTAAGCAATCGAAATGAAGATAACAGCCCGACAAGGGGGGGAGAGAGTTTTCCGACAGAAAATAATGGCATAGTCACTAATAGGATGAATTGTTTTACGTCGTACCCAATTTGAAAGAAGTAGGCTGAAAAGAGGCAACCTCACCCAAATTCGTCTGCAGTTTGCAACGTTGGGGTACGGTTGGGTACGGTTTAAATGAAATAAGTTCAAATGAGAAAAGAAAATGCCATCCGTGAAGTTAGCAGTAGGTGGACGTGAACCGCTTTTTACCATTGCCACTTTTCTCTTTTACTTTATGAAGAAATCAAATGGTACGCACCATGTGTAACCCGTAAGCCCGTGTGAGTGCATGCGTGCAAATTGTAGGAACATTACATTTGAGAACTAGATACCGGAATATTTCGGTTTAATGTATTGAATGGGATACGAAAGAGTCCATACACTCTATTCTATTCTCTCGCTCTCTCCAATTTACAAATAGAATTGTGTCAAAGCCTCTTCAGTTACCCTTAAGTACCTGTCAGAGTCCACGGCAAATTGCGGACATCGGGATCTGAGATGATAAAAAAATTGGGCAATGTATTGGATTCTGCTTTTCTTCCCGTGAAAAAACTACTGATAACAATGTGTCCTTGTCTAATACAAGCTCGGTTGGTACAACTCTAGATGAACATGTTACGATCAACTGTCTCAACACCGAAGGCAGACCTTTTGAATCTACTGGGTGAATCGTTGGTATTGACCGATTAGTTAAATATACATTGTCGTATTTATCCACAACTTACAACTGCTACAAAATAAGTGTTTTCATGGATCCAGAACTTTACCGTTCCCTAGAGTATCAGAAAAGGTCTAAGATCTTTCGTTTGTCTTTTTCCTGCTAGCAAGTATTATTTTCTTTTATCGCTCACGCAACTTCAAATAATTTTTTTGGTCTGTATCGTCTTCAGCCTTGAATTGGCCCGAAATTTTTATGGGAAAAATCATCATAATCCCTCCCGAGTCATATTTTTTATATTTTAAAACAATGGTACGGATTATGAAGACCTCATCTCTAAATTCTATTTTTTCATATGTATGTAAATTTTCCCCCCGGAGGGCAAGAACAATGCATTGTTTTTCTGTGCGAATGAAGCTCTTAGTTCATCGAACCATGCTGTGTACACCAGCTGCTGCACATCCTGTTCATTCAGGAACTAAAACTCCAACCAGTGATAAATTGAGAAAATTAATTTCTATCGTATGATGAACGGTGTTGCGTTGTGCTCCTAACATTTCTGATATTGAGAAGAAACTCTCGGTGAATCATATTTGACTTCGGAGCAGGTCTGCTCAAATAATCCTATTGTGTTGTGTCTCCTTTGGTACGTTTAACAAATTTGGGGCGGTGATTCTTTGATACTATAATACCATTTTTGTACAAGGTTAGTCCTAGTTCCCTAGAAGCCGACCAATTATCATAGGTACTACGAAGGTTTTCCGAAAACTCCAGCCGAATTGACGACGAACAATGAAGAAAGATGAAACCAGCGTATGAAGTTAATTACAATTACTTTAATTATGTCAACAAGCCATGGCGCAAGTTTAAGCACCACTCTACACAGATCAAATGCAGGCAGTACAAACAAATCGCAGTGCGGAAATTGGTCAATCGATTACGAATCAACAATCACCCCGTCCGCACAATATCCAGTAACAGTTCAACTCGTCGTGAACACTCACAGACGAGTGCACAACAAACAGACAGATGTACAGATTGTTCTCATATTCCGGCAGTTTATTTGCTGCTCGACGGCATTCGAATTCTCCTTCATCACTTCTGAAGCAGTCCGCCAATACAGATTAGAAAAGTAATTTAACTAACCAAATACACCGTCAGTGATCAAAATTTCCATGCTAGTTGATTTTGATACACATTCTCGCTTAGTTGTAAATGGATAATAAATTACACAGAAAGAAATATTGCATGAACATCAGATCAGAAATTGACCAATTCAATTCGTTTTTACAGATTTGATTAATGGGTTATTGGTTTCCTGTATCACGATATTATCCGGCCTGATACTGGACATTAGGAGATCGAAGATGGGCTTGTCAAGTTTGCCGATTAGTTAGAACAGTAAACTTCTGTGATCAAGGGACTGAGTCATACGTGACGAACTGTTATCAGCCGACGAATGTTTAAACTCCAGTCAGATAATGTTTTATGCAAAACAGAAGGCACTTAAGTAACCAGCAGCTTGGGTACAGGGTTACAATGCTATTCGTTCATCGAGTTATAATTTCCAGAATGGCCAGAGAGATTTTGGAAACACGACTTTACAATCAACACATCAGACTTATTTGGCTGTTTAGAATTCTTTGCTTTGTTGAGTATCACATGATAACCAAAACTGCTTTGATGATTGTGAAAGCATTTATCGAATTTTCGAATTTTACTCCTCTTTATCATGTAATAAAAGTATAACGTTTCAGGACGGAGTTCGCGACCAGTTGCAGATCGTCATTGGGGAAAGTGATCGGCAATAACAGCAGCATTCGAAGCCGGAACAAAAAAGGTCCCAAATTCA